CCGCGGGGCTGTCACCGAACTCTCCGCACCTGCATTATGGCGAGTGTTGGGAGTGACTGCTGCATCTAGCCTCCCATCTACCTCTCTACCTTTTCCCAAAAAACTAATACCAAGTGGAGAAAAGTCACTCACAGATTTGTAAAAATTATTCTACAAAACGTCTCCCATTACACCAAAACATCTTTTGATACTGAATCCCTGTGTAAAGAGATTTTAAAATTCACTTTACATCCATCCACCTTTGAAAACCCAAGGCCATGAAAAGAAATGCGAGCGTCACCTGAAATTTCACAGGCATACACCTCTCTCAGCTAGTGAGGCCATTACACTTCCATCTCAAAGACGCCCTGTGAATAGGAACTAATGTCTTTCAGCAATTTAAACTCTCTGGCTGCAGGACTTGGGTTTATGAATTGCAAACTAACCAGTTCAAAAGCACAGAACCTTCATTTTCATTTCACATTTATTCCTGCCAGAAGAAAAATGCTTTTTCGGGAAAGAGCAATAACATCTTATGCTTGAACTCCATGAATGTCATTGTCTGGAAGGCGTTTTCATTGGGCTTACCTTTCTGGCAACGCCTAGTGTTCTTTGGAAAGCATCACGAATGCAGAAGCGCATAAATTCACTCAGTAAAGTACCATAAACTCTCAACTACCCGACACAGTAAGGAAATGTGGCATTCAAATATACACATTTAAGCAGTCACCCATCATTAATTATGCCCTGAAAACAGGATTAAAAAGTTTAATATTAGAGATTTATGGACAAAAATGTTTCTAAGAATTACGACATCATAAAGTGTACCTAATAAGCCACAGGGAACACTGTTTAATCTCCTCGATGATGAAGAAGGGTCTGGAGCATCTGCACCATATGATTTGTCTTGGCAATGCAGCAGCGCGCCAGTGGACCCGCTAGTTGAAGACAAGCCCCGTGACAGGTGACTGTGTAATCCCTACTCAATTGGAAGTCAGCTTTTAAACCACTGGCTTTGAGGCCAGACAGCCCTGCGTGTGCATCTTAGCTCTTCCATTTCCCAGCTGTGAGGCCCAGGGCACATTACTGAAGATTTCAAAGGTGCCTCTCCTCAGTGTGAAAACCTGTGCTGAAAGGCTTGGTTCCATCAGTGACTTAAGGCTGTGGTCAGCAAACTGCTGTCCGAGCCACAGGAGGCTCTTTGGCCCCTTGAGTGTGGCTCTTCCACAAAATACCACGGCCTGGGCGAGTCTATTTTGAAGAAGTGGCGTTAGAAGAAGTTTAAGTTTTAAAAATCTGGCTCTCAAAAGAAATGTCAATCACTGTCCTGTTGGTATTTGGCTCTGTTAACTAATGAGTTTGCCGACCACTGACTTAGGATATTGTGCAATACCCTCTTTGTAACGAAGGGAAGGAGCCATCCAAACAAACTGACAATATGAGCATATCTATACTAATAATAGGGTAATATGCAAATTGGCCAGGATGCGGTCATGACAGGAGCAGGAGCAGGAGCAGGAGCAGTCAGGTGGGGACTTGCAGCTTTGGGGACAGGGGCGGGGCCACAGCAGAGAGGCTCTCTGCACGCCTTGGCGGGGTCCGCAAAGAGGCCCCTCTTCTGTGGGCCCACCTGGCCGGGGGTCCGTAGGCACCACGGCCTGGCCAGGAGGCAGGGTCGCAGCGGGGGCCTCTGAGTACCTGTGCCATGGATCCACAGGCCTCTGCCAAGGCCTGGGGGTCCATAGGCCTCCCCAGCTCCAGCCTACCTCTTTGAGGCAATCCATCAAGGAGCCATGGATGGGTGGGCCGGGCCTACCTCTTGGGATGGTGGGTTGTGAGGCTCCTGCACTGTGACAGGACACAGGCCAGGGGGGGGACTCCCCCGCCCCCCCGCTGAGACCCCAAGTGCATGAATTTCGTGCACCAGGCCACTAGTTTAGACTAATAAATTGCTATCTGATATACCAAAATCTGGAGGATAACTGCCATAGAATTACTTAAAATATCTGGGAAGAGGAAGATCAGGGGAAGAGCTGTGGGGAAAAAGAGAATTAAAAAGAGACCTTCGTAACAGAAACTGCCTCCTTCTTTCCTTTCTATCAAAAGTCTCCAGAAAATACAGACGTTTGCACTCTAGGTGGTTTTGCTCAGTGGATAGAGTATCGTCCTACGGACTGAAGGGTCCCAGGTTCAATTCCAAGTCAAGGGCGCATGTCCGGGTTCAATTCCCAGTGCAGGAGGCAGCCTATCAATGATTCTCTCTCATTATTGGTGTTTCTGTCTCTCCCTCTCCCTTTTTATCTGAAATAAAAAATATACATACTTTTTTTTTTTTAATACAGAGGTTTGGGTGGTCCCCATGGAGTGGATTATATAAATTTCATCCTTAGTATTGGTTTTATTTCGGGAGATACAGACCCAATTGTTTGAAATATATATATAGGATTTTAAAGAAAGCTGTTATATTCCAGTTGAGTTTTGTAGTTCTCCTAGGAAATTCTAAATTATCCATAGTAAGGTCTTTAAATATTTTCATAATGTTGCTGAATAATTCTGTTTGGTAATTTTAAATGCTTAGGGCTTAATTCAGCAATTCTGAGATCACCACAAAACCAAAGTCTAAGAGATTCCAACAGATGGTCAGACTGCAGGCATGTAGAAGAACCAAGTCCATTATTAGGGTAGAATGCTTACTACTCTCTATAATTAACAACTACCAGAAATTATTAACAGAGAAAAGTATAAGTTTTTAATTTGAACCCTTTGTGCCTTACATGCTTGGCACATAAATATTATTAGATGAATAATAATCAGTTACCTTAATGAAAGTTAGCAAATACATAGTTGTTAATATTGCCTTGTGTAACAATACTCAGTTACCTTTCAAATATATGTGCTTTAGATAACAACAAAATGAAATTTCACACCTTGACCTCATGTGCAGACTTCCCAGTACTTAGTACTAACGTGGAGAAAATAGCCTACCAATTTAAAACTTGTTGATTTTGATAAAATAAAAACTCTATATATAATAGATTAACTGTGCAGTAAGTAAAACTTGATACCAGATGGAAGGTAAAGTTAAAAACTAAATGTATTAGAATATTCCAATCTAGTTAAAAATAAGGTCCTGCTTGCTTATTGAAATTAAACTTTTATTCTGAAACCTTAGTGGCTTAATAACTGAATATATGAAAAATCATGCAACTAATTTAAACAAACCTCCCTGGTGACATAAAGGGGGTTACACTTGGAGAAAAATATTTTTAAAAACATTTTCTATTGTTTTATCTAAAAAATTATATTCCTACATTTCCCCCTATTTAAAAGTGTGCAATAACAACTATTTCCTGAGATACTACAATTTGGGTTTTGGGTATGAACTACTGACAATTTTAAGAAATGAAGAGAGGACTAATTTTATGTCAATTTCCAAATTGATATAAGCTCAGGTTAAAGGATTCATTTAGTTCATAGGTCACATGTATTTCACTAAATTGGCCAGATTATGAATTTCTTTAAAAAAAAAAAAATTAATACTTGACAGTGTTGGTGGAAGTTGAGATGATGACTCAACTTGCTTCAAGCAACTGCTCTCCCCCCTATCCCCCCAAAATTCCCAAACCAGAGTCAGTGTTCGTACAGCATGAAAAATAATAAGGCAAACAAGTTACATCCCAATAATCCATATAAACTGGGGGGGGGGGGGGGGGGGGGGGTATGGTTTCTACAGATACTGCCCTTCAAGGCAGTCTAGACAGGTAGTTAAGCCCAAATAAGCTAATTCCTTCAGCCTGTCTTGCTTCGCTAGCATATTCACTGTAAAACATGTAACAGACCCTTAAAATAGAAATCAACAGTATTGGGATATTTTGGAAACCAGGTCTTCCTTAAGCTGTGGAAAAATCTGGGTGGCCCAGATTCCATCCTTTCTTAAAATAAGACCGTTTTTCCTCCCACTCCAGAAGAAAGGTGGAAATGTTTACATGGATACATCTGATGTGTTGACACAGCTCTTAGCAATAAGTCCTTCAAAAGGGCGATCTTTTCCTTCAGATTCTGCAACAAAGCTCTGATTGTCACCGTAAGCTGAAAAGAAAAGAACACATCCTAAGTATGCCGGTCCAAACGCAGGGAATCCTCTAAAAGCATCATGTACACGCTGCTCCCTGTGCTATTGATTCAATCCAGGGAGGACTGGGAGAGACCCTTAGCCATTCTCCCAATGACAGCCTCAGGGGCCACGGAATCTGAATGGTCACTGCAACCTGAGCAGGTGGCAAGCCAGGCATGTCTAACACTGGCATTGACTGGAAACTGTCACTTTGCCCTCACCATCTACTGACTTCTGTCCCCGGAGAATCAACCTTCTGATCCTGTCTGTCCCTCCTGGAGACGGTGTTCTCCAGGCTTCATTCTCCCCAGTGAGAACCACCATCTTACTAGGAATAACGCATTTAAAAGCTTTATAACTGTGTGTTCTTTCTACACACGAGGAATGTTAACTAAACGTTGCTCTTTTTCCAGGATTGTGTGAATTTTTTCCAATCATTCTATAAACCCAGAGGTAATTTCTGTTTGTGACTATCAGTGCTACCTTCAAGGACGGAGGAGGGGTGGAGAGAGAGCTTCCTAGGAGCTTAGAAAAGTGAAAAATAAAATCACCCCCGTAAATTAAACATAGTGAGCCATGGATGAAATCAGATATATGTTTCAAAAGACAGACTATCACAGGTTTCATGTCCCTCCCCAGATTAGCAGCAGAACGCCTGAAAAGGGCCAAAGGCTGCCCACATGAAGCAACCTTCAAAGAATGAACAGCCAAAGAAAGTCTAACCTAAACTATTCAGATACCTCTGGGGACCACAGAAAAGCCACCCACAATGTTTATGGGGAAACTCCAAAAAGAGGATATTTCTCCTCATTCTCCAAGTAAAGAGCTAAATAAACAAACAAAAAAGCAACACACACACACACACACACACACACACACACAGGCCTAAGAAGAATCTACAAAGTTAGTGCTCGCTTGGGTAGCACATATACTAAAATGGAAACGGTGCAGAGAAGATTAGCATGGCCCCACACAGGATAGCACGCAAATTCGTGAGCATTCTATATTAAAAGAGAAAAGTATTCAAGAGATAAGAGAGAATATAGTCATTAAAAACTATGACTAAAATAAAAATGTTGACATAGAAAGCCATCCATCATAATTTATTAAAAGGAGAAAAAAATCAAGTCATAAAACACAATGTCACCTACACATGGAGAAAACAATCCAGGAACTAAATACATCAAAATGGCAAGCGTGGTTATAAAGTAGGGAGAAATGATTACTTTTATAATCAGGGGGAAAAACTTCTATTACCATAATTTAACAGAAACTTTACAAAGAACAGAAAAAGAAAAAATGCCTAATTCGTAGTTTAATGCTTGTTACACACTCTGGTAACAAGCACTAACAGAGACAATAGAAAAGGGAAGCCACATGGCAATCTCCATTAAAGGTTATAAAATAAACATCCTTTTAAAATATTAGCAAAGCAAATTCAGAATTACATTAAAAATTACAATAGACCATCACCAAGTAGAATTTACACTAGTAACTTAAGAATAGTTTGTTATGAAAAAAAATCTAGTAATAAAGCAAATAGGGTTAATGATTAAAAACAGAAAAATATATGATTAATACAGTATGGGAGAAATTATTTAAAAACAAAACAAAGAAAGAAAACTATGAATGAAGCACTATTGCCTTAACTGTAATATTATTTAACTTTGGTCTAGAAGTTCTAACCAATGCAGTAAGACAAATTAAAGAAATACATTAGGGCTAGAAAGAAAATGAAATTATTTTTATTCAGATTATTAATAGTCTATTTGGAAAAGTTAAGAGAACTGAAAGATTACTAGAAACAGGAAAAAATTCACTAAATCAAGGACATTCCTAAATTCAGTATTAGCTAGGGAGAATTATTTAATTATTATTTTAAGACATTATTTATTATCAACACAATCTAAAAATTGATCTAGCACAGTATCTGGCCTATAATAACTGCAGGGAATACTGCTGAAGGAATGAGTAAAAAGAAAGACTCAATATTGTAAAAAATGTAAATGCTCTCCAATTTAATATAGTAAAAAATTCCATACGAGTCCTTTTATAGGACAGGAAGTAATAATTATAGTAAAGGCACAGCCAAAGTTCTTTTTTCATGAAGCTGTGAAAGATCACTCTAAAAGAAGGATAAATGAAGAAAAATATAGAAAATTCATAAATAGGTATAATACCAGGGAATTAAGTAATCAGATATAAATCTTTATTAAAAACTACAAGAGTATTATGTTGGCAGCTGCTAACAATTTCATTAGTAAAATAGATCAGAAGGTCCAGAAATAGTTCAGTTGTGTGAAGTTCAATGAATGAGATACAGAATATTTCATATGTTTTGGGTGAAGATAATAATTTATCAAATGGGGGGAAATCAGATCCCTACAACACACTAAAATAAAACGCAATTATAAAGATTTATGTGTTTAAAAAAAATAAAAACAGAAAAAAAGCTTAATAGGTAGACAGAGGTAGATGGCTATCCAAACACATCAACAGGGCCTATATATTGACATAGAACTCAGAAACCAATAGTTTGTCTTTGCCTGTCTGCTAATAATACCAGTCATAATAATAGTTATACTTGAGAGAGAAACCAAGATGGTGGCATAGGTAAACACCTGAACTTGCTGCCTCACACAACAACTTCAAAACTACAACTAAAAGACAAAATGGACAGAACCACATCCAGAACCACAGGAAGGCTGGCTGAGTGGAAATTCTACAACCAGAAGGGAAGAGAAAAGCACACTGAGACTCAGAGGAGCTGCAGAAGTAAAGTGTGGAGGTAGGGAGGCTTGCGCGCAGAGAGGACTGGCATCTGACTTTCTCAATCGGGAGGGAGACAAAAGCTCCCCACTGCTCTGAACTCCAGTTCTGGGCGAGCCTCTGGGGACCCAGACTCATCTGGGGAGAAACTGGACTGTCTGGCAGCAGGCTGAACTAGAAGACAGCTTTCTCTCAGAGGTGCTTGCAGCGCTTACCATGGGACACTGAGACTCGGGGGTCTCATAGGGCAGGGCTGATGGAAAGCCATTGCTGTTTGCTCTGCCCTGAGACTCCGCCCCTTCCAAGCTGTACACAGAGGCTATTGCATATGAATGGCCTGGTTCTTTGAAATCTAAACTTACCTAATAAACTGCAGCTGAGTCAGAGTGACCCAGAACATCCAAAAGAAGGCCAAGGCCCCACAGCAGCTTGCACTGCTTCACAGCTGGGCCTCATGAGTCTGGGCACCTCCAAACCCCAAACAAACGAGAGGAATCTGCTGGGTGGCCTCAGGCAGAGGCTAAATTAGCCCCTCCTTGGAGTCCAAGAGCCAGTGTACCTAAGAGTCAGAATAGGACCATCCAGATTACAACTCCTCAGATCCATAAGGGACACATTCAGGGAGCAGTCTCAATCAGCACCAAAGTCCCACTGAAGCAAGTATTGCCTCATAAGGGTGTCTCCTCATACATAAGAAGTTCTCCCATCGTAAACATAGCTGATCCTCACAGCCAATTGCCCTGGAGGTCAATTCCTCCCAGTGATACCAACAACAACCAAGGCTTAACTACAACAAGACTGTGCACACAGCCCACAAAGGGGTGCACCAAGAGGGTCCACCTCAGGTAACTGGGCTCTATAGGACACCTGGCACACAAAGCCACTCTATCAACTCAGGGTAGCAGCCAAAAATGTGGTGACAAAGAAACAGGTCACAAATGAAAGAAATGGAGAAAAGCAAACAACTAGATATAGAGTTCAAAACCATAGGATTATAAAAATATTCAAAAATATAAGATTTTTCAAGAACTTTCTAGAAAAGGCCAGTAAGTTTAGTGAGACCCTTGAGGATATGAAAAAGGACCAACTAGAAATTAAGCATATACTGACTGAAATAAAAAAGTAATATACAGATACAACAGCAGACTAGAGGATTGCAAGAATCAAGTCAAAGATTTGAAATACAAAGAAGCAAAAAATACCCAACGGGAAAAGCAAAAAGAAAAAAGAATCCAAAAATATGAAGATAGTGTAAGAAGCCTCTGGGACAACTTGAAGCATACCAACATCAGAATTATGGGGGTGCCAGGAGAAGAGAGAGAGAGCAAGATACTGAAAATTTATTTGAAGAAATAATGACTGAAAACTTCCCCCACCTGGTAAAAGAAATAGACTTACAAGTCCAGGAAGCACAAAGAACCCCAAACAAAAGGAATCCAAAGAGGACCACACCAAAACACATCATAATTAAAATTCCAAGAGCAAAAGACAAAGAGAGAGTCTTAAAAGCAGCAAGAGAAAAACAGTTAGTTACCTACAAGGAAGCACTCATAAGATTGTCAGCTGATTTCTCAACTTAAACTATGCAGGCCAGATGGGAGTGACAAGAAATATTCAAAGTGATGAATAGCAAGAACTTACAACCAAGATTACTCTACCCAGCAAAGCTATCATTCAGAATTGAAGATCAGATAAAGAGCTTAACATATAAGAAAAAGCTAAAGGAATTCATCACTGCCAAACCAGTATTATATGAAATGCTAAAAGGTATTCTTTAAGGAGAGATAAAAGAAGAAAAAGGTAAAGAAAAAAAATTGTGAACAACAAATACATATCTATCAACAAGTGAATCTAAAAATAAAGTGAATAAAAAATCTGATGAACAGAATAAACTGGTGAATATAATAGAATCAGGGGTATAGAAAGGGAATGGACTGACAATTCTCGGGGGGAATGGGGTGTGGGGGTGTGGGAAGAGACTGAACAAAAATCATACACCTATGGATGAGGACAGTGGGGTGGGGGTAAAGGGCAGAGAGTGGGGTGGGAACTGGGTGGAGGGGAGCTATGGGGGAGGGGGGAGAAGAGGAACAAATGTAATAATCTGAACAATAAAGAGTATTGAAAAATAATAATAATAAATTAAAAAATAGTTACACTTGATCTTTTTGTCCTATACAATTTGTTTATGATTATTGAACATGTATGAGACAACTGTTAATACTCTTTTATTGCTTATGTAAATGTTATATAATATACCAAAATAGAGAATGAGACAGATGGCAATACCTGGATCATGATAATTCACAGGATAGAACTGATTCAGAGTGTTTTTTTTGCAGAGAAGGCCATAAGACCTGACTGCTCTTCCATTTACCTGCTCTTCCATTTGGGGGAGAAATTAGGCCTCCACTCAGATCCCATGGTAACAGCATTGTCCCATCCCCAGTGGTCAACAAGATGATGTGCATACTGAAACTTCCTAGGAATGAACCTTCCTAGATCTGTGAGACCGCACTATTCTCTACCAAAAGGCTGATCAGCAAATCCTTGGGATTGATTTATGACCAAAAGGGGGAATTGAGGGTGGAAGAAAGAAAAAGGGTGTTCTATGCAAAGTAAACTCACAGGTGATCTGATCATTAATTCCTAATTGGGCAGGTCATGGCAGTAGTCATGCCCGAGACCTATAATTTCTTTAGGAAAAGGTTTTAAGCCAACTCTGCCCATTGTTCTTGTGTATCTAAGTTAACACACCTTTAAAATACCATAAGCAAGCCTGGCTGGTGTGACTCAATGGTTGAGCATCGACTTAGGAACCAAGAGATCACCAGTTCAAGTCCTGGTCAGGGCACATGCCCGGATTGTGGGCTCAATCCCCAGTAGGAGGCATACAAGAGGCAACTGATTAATGTTTCTCTCTCATTGATGTTTCTATCTCTCTATCCCTCTCTCTTCTTCTCTCTCTAAAAATCAATAAAAACATATTTTTAAAAATTTTCAAATGCATAAATAAAGCTACAAAATTGTTATTCTCTCTCTCTCTCTCTCTCTCTCTCTCTCTCTCCCCCCCCCCCTCCTTCTTCCCATCCTCTCTGGAGGGAAAAAAATCAATGAAAAAATTAATTTTAAAAAAAATCATACATATCATGGTTCTAAGAATTCACCCTTAAAAGACACTTCTAAAAATACAAAGAAAAAAAGCACAAAGCTATTTAATGCAGCATTATTCATAACAGCAA